CGTTGAATAAGAAGTGTTTCTTTCACAAGAAATGTATAAAATTAGTGCTGTATTAGACTTACGGTACCTAATTTACATACTGTACAGACGATAATGAACTCATCTTATTTCCTAAAATGTCCGTAGCGTGGCGCCACGCTAGACGGCGGAAATTATGTATTTAATTATAATAAAGTTACAATAAGTTAATATATAATTATATATACAGTACCTAATTTATATATAATTTATATATAATAATGTACAGACGATAGCAAACTCAATTTAGCCGCTCCGTAGCGTGGCGCAGGGTCGGAGGGAAGTAGTTCGGCTGCTCATCCACTATTGGTCCAGATTCTATCAATCTTGTCGCGAAACGACGTTATAGGAGGTACTTTATACGAATGTTGCTACAATTTTTTCGCTATGTTATAGGAATTGTCGTTATAGGAACGCACGTTATAGGGGGTCGACTGTATATATATATATATATATGAGTGTAAGGAGAGTGTAAGAAGAGGAACTAGTTTGCTTATCCACTTTGAAGCTTAATAACACCTGTGCTTATAACTTATCTACTTAATAACTTCTTCGAAAATTTTTGAAATTTTGAAAAGTAGGTCGTTTCTACCAGAGGATTCACGCGTCCATGGTTTAGTGTCAACGAATGAGGACAGAGAAAAAACCATGTGACAATATTCGAAAGAATTCTGACTTAATAAAGATTTCACTCGATATTAAAATTTGTAATTTTGTTTTATAGAAACATCTCTATCGTTCAACATTCCTTTATTTTATCTTATAATATAATTTAAGTGAGTTGATAATATTAGTAATAATAATAAGCGCAGAGCCCAAACGGTTAGGAGTTGAAAGTTAAAATTTGGTACACAGTTAAAATACGTCATGAGAACGTACACTAAGAAAAGGTTTTTGGAAATTTCCTTCCTTGGGAGGAGGAAAAGCGATTATCCTGAAAAAGTCTGCTTCTACTGTACTATTATAGATGAGGAGTTTTGCGTATTTATAGAAAATTAAGCATGTTGTCGAGTATCTAAAAATTCTCTAATTAGTCTGGAAGGAGGGTGAACCTAATTCTTGCATTCGGAGGAAACGGATAAGACTAGATACAATCTAATAATCTTAATCTTCGCTATGGTTACTTTTTGCTCGAAAAACGCCGGGCTCATCTACTTGTTTTATGATAATTATTATAAAAAATTTCAAAATAAAATATCCTAAAAGATGGCGCCACACACTTTTTAAGTTTTGCGGGGCAACTTACGCAACTCTGTTCTAGAAGTTCATCGTAAGCTGTAATGAAATTGTTATTTAAACTTATTTTTAGAGCCATAATTACATTTGAGTCATAATACGTAATTATTGAAAAATTAATTACGTAATTTTTCGTAATAAAAATACTGTAATGCCTATCCATAAAAATGAACGAATCCTTTCTTGTAACATTTATAATTTTTATCTGCAACAACAATTATTTCATTCGTAAATTAATTNTATGTATCACTTAAGAAAATTTTAATAAAGATATTTATCTTAATTATGAAAATATAGTAGCATGTTTTTTTTTTTTTTTTTTTTTTTAATTTTTGGAACCTAACCCTCCTTTTCGTACTATTTCTTTGTTTCGCATAACACGGCAATTTTTTGGAACGTAACTGCCGTGTTATACGGGAGTTACCTGTATGTATTTTGACAGTTGTTTGGGATTCTGTTGCTAAATGTTCTCACATTCCAGGACATAAGATGAGACCGGATTAGTTTAGACAGTCTATTGATTGTCTGTTTAAATGAAACAAACATCAGTCCGGTTGCATTTATTCTAGGCGGAAACGAACATATGAAAACGTTAACATTAAATACGCCTCTTGAAAAATATATAAGAAAAGTTATAATTAAAACATTTGAAACCTAATGTTAACTATTTTCATAATTTCCAATTTTCAATAGAGTTTAAACTTATACCATTATTATAAAATGTAAGTTAAATAGTTTTAAAACTATTATCAAAAGCTGGTTTAAATGTGAAAGGATGAAGACCCTTCTCTTCTCTGTATCCACTTAATGCTAAACATCCGCCGAAAAATAATAACTGATAGAAATAACTGAAGAAAATGCTCGTTGCCGCATACAAAGAAAATATTCTAATACCCGGGAATGGTGATGTTATGGCAACGCAATAAGAGAAGAAATTCGTTAGAGACGTTATGGTGATGGACACTGCTGCGTTGCGATACGTCTGTTCCATTCGCTTTTCCACGCTGTCACTGCAGTCTGTCACCTTCCAACAAGCCAATACGACAAACGAGTCGTCCACTTCCGTAGCTTTAATAGATGAAAGGAATAAAAATATATAAAGCGAAATATATTAGTATTTGTAAATATATTATGGTTTAGCTTACCAAGAATCATGAAAGGAAGACTGACGTTCCACCGAAGATTTTCTACTCCACAGGCGGATAATAATCCAAAAGTGGTAGCCACAGCCAAACCGGCGGATACGACACTAGCTACGCCCAACCAGGGTTTGGATTTCACCCAATTGTTAGTCATGTTCGTCACCATGGAGAAAATGGCCACTACGACCACAGCCACGCTAATCAAAGACACTAATTCCTGTGAAATGCGTTTTAGTTCAAAAATGGAAGACTCGATTGGTTCAGGAAATGTTTTAATATGCTCGAAAGTATAATCTTTTAACTTGTTGTAAACTGCTGTTTTCCATTCTTCATTCCACATTTTCTTACTTGCATTCGATTCGTCCGTCGGATATAGTAAACGTACGGCTTTTGCTTCAATTATGTATCCTTTGTCGTCTGTCGTTACTCCTCCTAAATTCAGACAAAGGATTTTGTACGCGTATGTTACAGGATCCATATTAACGGGATACTTCATTTTTAATAGTTCATGAATAGCATTTTCCAAGTCGTTTAGCAAATCAATAAGAGTATTTTCTAAACATTTGCCATTTACAATCTGGCACACGTCCGAATAACCAATAATCTTTCCATCTACAGAAGCTGTGGTATTTTTTACAACCTTATCTACAATTAGTATTTCGCTTAAGAACTTTTTATGTAGAATGTTGCTTTCTCTGTCATTTACTATGTAAATCACTGGAAAAAGCGGACGTTTAGTAAGTCGTAAAAAATCGAAACTACTCGAATTGGTATCAAATGTCTTATCTATAAACTGTTTGGCATTAAAATATTTGCCCCTGTCTGCAGTTAAGAGAAAATCGGTGTCGTCATTGGTTTGAAGCCTGATAATCCGATTGATAATAAACCGGATATAATGACAGGAATAATAAGAAAATAGAGGGGATATCGACTAATTATTACACCAAGTCGACCAATTATATTGGATACGCTGTTTGTCAGACACAAACATTTCGTTTTCTTTGAAGTGTCGAGTCTTCTTACCTAAAAATTTAAATATTAATTACTTTAGCATACGCATTTCAAACGCTTAGTTTAGGTGAAATGGTTTTTACCTGTTTATTCATTGTTATCTTGAACTTAAAAAATTCTGAATTGTCTTTGCACTATTGAGTGGTCCACGACGGCGAGCCCTATCAGATTGAATGAAGTACCATTCACCTTTAAAAGTAAATCAATAAAGTGTTGAAATTTCCGAGCCAGTTTACCCTTTTATAAATTGCATTTGTTCTGTATGACGTGATTTCTTCTATTTGGGGAATGCTTCATTGGTTGACTGTGTTTAAATTTTTCAATTCAAACAAATCTTTAAGTAGTTTCTGTTATTTCTCCAGCAGAAACTTCTTTTGTCATCAAACTCCAACGTATATTTCTGATTTGGTGAAAAATAGTTGTCAAATATAACCTTTATACATAATTTTGAGATATTTGAATTAATCTATGAGACTAAAACGTGGCAAAAGCATTTATTTGAACAGGCTATGAAGCTATTTTCAGCACATATAAATTAGTTATGATTAGATTAGGGTAGGTTAAGCTAGGTTAGGTAATATGATGTTATGTTATGTAATGTTAACTTATATTATGTTATATTAACTTAAGTTAAACAAAAACTAAATAAATCATTATGAAACTTGAAAAAAACGTGGTTAGTACTGTGAGGCTTTCACGCTAAGAAATGTCGTTCTTCTCTTGTGGGGATTGCCGCAATACTGTAGCAATTAGTGAGCATGTTGTATACATAAAATCATGAAACTACTAAAGGGAAAACGGATATTAGATGCGAAATCTATGTATTGCAAGTTTTTAAAAATTTCATGTACCGAAAATCTTCAGTTCACTATCGCAGGTTTTAAATTAAAAAAAAATTACTATTTGAACTACTCCTACATAAAATTTGTTTTGAAGTAAACAGCGTCAAATATATCGCTTTTTGAGCAATTATGCGAACAAAATAACTTGTAAAGTACGGCTATTTTTATATATTTTTTTCATTGTCCTAGTTTCAGAGGTTTCACTTTATTTATAGTGTGAAACATAGTGGAACAAAACAATTGAAGGCTTTAATTCGTTTAAAAAGAGGTTATGATTTGTTCAATAAGTTGTTTACTTTCGATTCGTTGTTTAATTCTTTTTTATTCATGAGAACAAATGGATTTTATTTACACGTGGACCATTTTTTGTGAATCACAGTTATATATATTAAAAAAATATATTTATTCTGAGTATAGTTTTAATATTCTATTGATATTCATTATAAATCAAAATTAGTTTTCGAAACTTTAATTATTTCCTTTTCCTAACGCATGTCGTTTTTCGATGAAGGAAGTTAATTCGGTAGCAGAAATTTGAAAAAAAATAATGTGGAGATATTTATCATTGTGCATTGTTTTCACGATTAAAGTAAGGGAATTCAATCAATAATAACGGCCATTATCAATCTTCGATAAGTTTTAATAACAAAAGTAATCTTGACAATTTACTACTTTGCTCAAACAATTTTTTAAAAATTAATCCGATACAACTTCTCGGCTGTGCACCCGGATTTTAATAAACCCTCTGATATACACCGAGAAAAGTAGAAGGAATAAATAAACAAAAAAAGGAAAAAATGGAAACTGTTTATAGTTTTAGAACGCAATAAAAGTGATTGACAATAAAAACTACAGTAGTAGCGCAGGCGTCTTAGTTCTGTTGGAAATGTTAGTCAGAGTCGAAATGATGCTAGACTAGCCCTATATTTCTTCATTCCAGAACTGATGTCAATTTTTTACCTGGAGAGAAGTCAGTGACAAATCGTGAAGCGGAAAGGAAGAATCCAAATAATTGTTAGAATATATAGGACAAAAATTATATAAAAACTCAGAAGTACAAAGACATGCAGCGGGTATTTTCATTTTAGTCCCCTCATTCCTCGGAGGGTCGCCGTCAAAAGAAATGAGTTCGACGAAATTTCCGTATGTACTAGGAAAGTTCCATCAGCTACCAATTCGACGCTGCCCCGGGGTCGCCCGACGGACGAAACTTGCATAGAAAATCAGTACATTCGATCGTTCGGGACATTTGATAAATCTTTTTGTCATCCGACAAGTACTCGTTTAATCCGTGTGAGAAAAATTTGTATTAATAAATGTTTTTGTAGGGCACTTTTGTTTTGTATTTTTTGAGTCCTACGACACCACCCGCACAGTAGACTGCCACTTGGTCATTTCTGATAAAGAGTTAACTATTTTCTCTTTTCCGGCATACTAACCATACAGCAACGTCAAAGCGAAAATAACTGCTTCATTAGGTGCTCAGTTGAGGTTTATCGTCAGTTATGGCACAAAAACAAGTAAAGATCTTACAATTTTACATTAATTACAGTTAAGAGAAACAATTATATTACTACTTGATATATATCTTTTCACGATATATATTAATTTAAATATATAAAAATCGATATATATTAATTATTACTTACCGAATAATTTTACTACCGGTATTACAAAATATTAAAACAACAGCATTCTACACACGTGTGTGACTTTCTCAAGTGGAACTTATACTGTGTACAGCAACAATATAATTACTCGTGTATGACGTAGTTTTGTGATAACCTTCGACGCAATGCTTTTTTATGACGACTAAATTTTACACGTGTTTGCCTGGAGCTATTATAAAATTCTATTTTAATAATACTTTATATTCTTAATTCTGTACGTACGATAATTTTTAATCAGTTTAAAATTTATCACAATTCATTTTTAGAAAATGAAATGTTATTTGGCTGAGATTTAAATTTTAAACATGCATATTTCACTGTCGTCCTTCTTTCGTTATTCTAGAGAATGAAGTTAAATGGATGAAAATTGTGACTATATGCAGAAGGATTACGGGACTAAAGCCTTTGATAACTGTTCAAATACTACAGATCTGAACCGTAAGTCAAGCTGTTTTAATTGAAAGATGCTGACTTTTCATATGCAGCGTAAATTTGTGTAGAATTGATCCGTATGACAATTGGACATGAATAGTTTGATACTAAAGTATGTAAGGTATGTATGGATCACGTCATCTCGAGCTTTAATAATTCCAATAATTTATATCATGACTCGTTTCGTAAGTAATTCGTTAAAGTGAAATTTAAATAAAATTGCAGTCTGAAATTATGACGACGTCACAATAAATGTTCGATTTCTTTATAGAATACGGAAACAGTGTCGAAAGATTTGTAAATTTATTGCATAATTACGTTGAATTTGTCATAGTCACGAACAAACAAATTTTGTTGTCTAATATTCGCACTTTTTTTTATGCAATTATAAGTTTTTTTACTCGTGTACTGTACGTTTTTCTATAAAATGTGGTTGAATACTTAATGTGGTTAATATTAACTTTAGAAATATTTCTTAAACGTTTCGTATTTTTAACTCGTTTATTTAAATATTGAAGAAGTATTATTTTCCTGTATAAAAAGTTTTTTTTGTTATATATAAAATTATTTCCCTCTGTTTTAAATGTGACGTTGGATTGATCGTATGGCATGCTGCAAACCTGTTTTGAAGTGAATAAAATTTATTGAAATTATTATTTATAAAAAATGATAGAAGATAATTATACCTGCGAAGGACAAAACTCCACTTTCTATAGTTATAACTGAATTTTTTACTGCTTTTTCTATCCTCGTCTAATATATAATCGAGACGGGTTGATAATAATAATAATAATAAGTGCAGAGCCCAAACGGTTAGGATTTGAAAGTTGAAATTTGGTACACAGATAGGGTACGTCATGAAAACGCACACTAAAAAGGGATTTTTCGAAATTCCTCCCCACGGGTGACAGGGACAGGATTAAGGCTTAATACTTCCAATAACCAATGGAAGTGTTAAGTAACAATGGAAGTGCTAAGTAACAATGAAAGTGTTAAGTCACAATGGAAGTGTTAAGTCACAATAAAAGTTTTAAGTAACAATGAAAGTGTCAACAATGGAAGTGTTACGTAACAATGGAATTGTTAAGAGAAATCGACGTGCAAATCTTTTTTCGTTTTTGCGAGAAATCAAACATATTTTTAGACCCATCTAAAAATTCTCTAATTAGTCTGGAAACAACGGGACCCAATTCTTGCATTCTGTGAAAACGGGTAAGGTTGATAGTAACATAATAATCTTTATCTTAGTTATCGTTACCTTTGCCCGAGCAACGCCGGGCCCAACTGCTAGTTATAATATAAAACAGAGGTAAAAAAATGGTAATTAGTCAAACAAAAATCTACGGAATTATTATCTTTTTTAACTCAGAAAACCCTCGAACGTCGAGAAATCCAAAAAACCTGCCAAGTTTTGTATATACAGTAGACCCCCCTATAACGCTTAGATACGTTCCACGTTAATCGAATTTTACGTTGTAGGAATGATTAAATACATGAGTCAATCGCAGCCCGATAGGTGTGAACTTTACGGACTAAGGCTGTTTGAAAGGTTTTCTTCTATAAAATTAACCGATTCTAGACTAATTCCACTCAACATTTCCAAAACACGTATAATTTTTTGGGAATAATCCGTATAAACTATGCTATAAACAAAAAATTATAGGATTACTTACCGAGTGTGTACCGTTCGACTACGCCGTTGCTTAAAGCTGGTTTTCATCGCGGAACAGCACATTAAACGGCGGCCGCGATTTCTAATAACGAATTTTTCGCATAAAAATAACTTGACCTTTGGAGACATCATTAATATAAATAATTTTTATGGCCGTTGAATAAGAAGTGTTTCTTTCACAAGAAATGTATAAAATTAGTGCTGTATTAGACTTACGGTACCTAATTTACATACTGTACAGACGATAATGAACTCATCTTATTTCCTAAAATGTCCGTAGCGTGGCGCCACGCTAGACGGCGGAAATTATGTATTTAATTATAATAAAGTTACAATAAGTTAATATATAATTATATATACAGTACCTAATTTATATATAATTTATATATAATAATG